CAACCAATGGTACCATCATTTACTTCGTTGCCTTCTTAACAGCTGCTCACAGCCCAAAGACATTATTAAGTATGTCTACAGAAACGATTTCAACATGCTTGCACGAAGAGCTTATTTTTCAACGAAAATCAATCAATATATCCATACAATGCTAATAATAATAGTAATGATCACTTTATCCTAAACAATAATAATCATACACAATGGAGACTTTCGGTGTTATGTAATCAGGGCAAGGAAAGATTGATAACCGCTTCTTCCTGAACGCATAAATCGCGTTTCAGGCGCTTGATGGAGGTTGCCTTGGTAAACGTAAGGAGAACTGAACTCTTTTGCCTCTTGATGATTTTGAACGATCTTGCGATGTCTACCTCATGATCCGTGTCAAGAAGAGGCCTACTAATGGCACTGTTTAAAGTATTTATTCCCTTTGGACATAAGCTTTTTGGTACATGTTCATAAAATCGGAGATGTACCCTTCTTCCTGTTCTTCCAAAGTAAATGCTCACGCAGATATATGTAAATTTGTAAACACAGTTGGAGTTAACATGAGAAGGACATCTGTCGACCCAAAAGAGCATCTTATCTGGTAGACGGGAACCAACTTATCTGCAAGAAAGGCTGTGACTAGTGACGTCCTTAATCTTCTGTTGACGATCGCTACAATGTTTTCACCTTTAAAATCGATCTAGATGAAGACAGGCGTTTTTCCCAGTGTGATTCGTTTGACATTTGTGGCTTCACATCTTCCATATTTGCTGATGAACCTTTGAGAGTAACCGTTGTCTTTCAACATCTTTTCGAGAAACATAAATTCTTCTTCTAATTTCCATGTAGAGCATATTCTCCTAGCTCTTCAGTATAGAGTCTTGACTAGTCCACGTTAAAAGCTATTTAGAGAAAATCTATTAAAATGTAGGTTTTGTCCATTCTCATGTCTGCTTTCAGTAAATTGACCTCTAGAGACTACCACCTTCTAGGCGTTGCATAGCAATGTCGATCAAATTTTTTCATGTCCCATAGTAAACTCACTATTGGTATATAAGTCGTTGAGCAATCTGAGTAGGAGGAAACATGACTTTCATTGTCATCGACATATCGACAATAAGAAGTTATTTCGTCAATTACATGCTTAAACTTTGTTCTTTCAAGGTTGGATATGAAGATATTTGCTAAAACAGGGCTAAGTGGATACATCAGCGGATATTAAAGTAAAAGTCTTCATCCATGTCTCACTTATAAAACATAAAGATTGAGCGAAGAAATATTTACTTTTCAATTAGATCCTCATCTCTGGCTCTACTCTAATATATATAGCATTTTTATTACAATACACAACAGTTTACCAAACAAGTGGTGATATGTTTGTTAACAATAACTAAAGTGTCAAAAGGTCAATGGGTTGATAATTAACGAAGAAAATCAATACACATTTAAAAGGTGGAAATGGTTAGAATAAATTAATTTTACAAGGATAACATGTAATTAAAGATGAAGTGGTCAAAATGAAAATAAAATAATTTGGACAATTGTAATTTAAAAGGGGGAGAAGGGCGACGTAGTCCTGTCTTGTAACGATGGCCACGGTAAGGAAAGTGGCTGTACAAATTTCTTCTGTACACAAAGGCTTCGTTTCTTCTGGTGGATTCCGACTGCTTCAGCTGTCTGTAGAAGACGAACTTGACTTGGATTTTAAACTTTCTGGTCACCTGATTTACTTTTTATTAGTTGATATATTTCGTCTATATTAAGGTGTTTGTTAATTGTATTTTCGTTCGATTACCAGGCTTCCAGGAATTCCCTGGCACTTCTGGTGTTTCCTCTGTCTAAGATTTCGACACTGACTTTGACTAGTCACTCGTACCGGAAACATGGAGAATACTACTATCATTCAAGTCAGGCAATGAAAAATAATGGAATTACATAAACGAAGTTAGAAAGTTGTGTGAGTTCCTTGATATGATTGTGAGCAGTAATAAATTGTGCTCGGAACGTGGTCATCAGTAAGTATTACTGTTTAGCACCACTGTGAGACTGCCAAAATAAATTTTACCCAGTTCATCCTTTTTTGGGTGTGTTAGCTGGATGTACCTTCAGTGTCCACTGGTGAAGAGACAGTGTTTTCCACTGTGATTTGAACTCATGTTTGCGTAATAATGTATTACTATGCGAAATAAAAAACGTTCATATTCGATCGAGCAGCTTGGCAAGAAATCGAAAGTAATAGATCACAAACCGGAGATGGATAATACATAATGGCTAAAGTAACACAATACACAGAAAACTCATATTAGAATATATTACTGTTGACTGTTTCTTTGTGTTCCTAGTGTTTAACATACGCTTCAACAGCACACCTCTACTATATCGTACTCTGTGCAGTCCTCTTTAGTTGATCGCATGATTGACCATTGGGCTATGATCTCCTCCACTTGCTACCTCCTTCATGTCACCCCCGAACCCGCGTCTATCTCATAGTTTTCCACCCATGTTTCACTTCAGCCATAACCCAACATTTGATGCCAACCAATGGTACCATCATTTACTTCGTTGCCTTCTTAACAGCTGCTCACAGCCCAAAGACATTATTAAGTATGTCTACAGAAACGATTTCAACATGCTTGCACGAAGAGCTTATTTTTCAACGAAAATCAATCAATATATCCATACAATGCTAATAATAATAGTAATGATCACTTTATCCTAAACAATAATAATCATACACAATGGAGACTTTCGGTGTTATGTAATCAGGGCAAGGAAAGATTGATAACCGCTTCTTCCTGAACGCATAAATCGCGTTTCAGGCGCTTGATGGAGGTTGCCTTGGTAAACGTAAGGAGAACTGAACTCTTTTGCCTCTTGATGATTTTGAACGATCTTGCGATGTCTACCTCATGATCCGTGTCAAGAAGAGGCCTACTAATGGCACTGTTTAAAGTATTTATTCCCTTTGGACATAAGCTTTTTGGTACATGTTCATAAAATCGGAGATGTACCCTTCTTCCTGTTCTTCCAAAGTAAATGCTCACGCAGATATATGTAAATTTGTAAACACAGTTGGAGTTAACATGAGAAGGACATCTGTCGACCCAAAAGAGCATCTTATCTGGTAGACGGGAACCAACTTATCTGCAAGAAAGGCTGTGACTAGTGACGTCCTTAATCTTCTGTTGACGATCGCTACAATGTTTTCACCTTTAAAATCGATCTAGATGAAGACAGGCGTTTTTCCCAGTGTGATTCGTTTGACATTTGTGGCTTCACATCTTCCATATTTGCTGATGAACCTTTGAGAGTAACCGTTGTCTTTCAACATCTTTTCGAGAAACATAAATTCTTCTTCTAATTTCCATGTAGAGCATATTCTCCTAGCTCTTCAGTATAGAGTCTTGACTAGTCCACGTTAAAAGCTATTTAGAGAAAATCTATTAAAATGTAGGTTTTGTCCATTCTCATGTCTGCTTTCAGTAAATTGACCTCTGGAGACTAACATGTTCTCAGCGCCACATTGCAATATTCATCAATGAAACATTCCATCATTTTCATGTCCCATAGTAAAATCACTCACTCAGATAGCATATGAGTCGTTGGACAATCTGAGTAGGTAGGAAGCGTGACTTTCATTGATGCACACTACAAATCTGTCATTGACATAACGACAATAAGAAGTTATTTCGTCAATCACATGCTTCAACTTTGTTCTTTCAAGGTTGGACATGAAGATATTTGCTAAAACTTCTACTCATAACTGCGTGTTTGAAACAATGAGACATTATGGATAGAAAAAGGCACGAAATTGGACTTTCAAAGTGATAACATTTTCCATGTTGGTGAGACATCATAGTCAGGCTTTCTTTCTCTATTCTCTCTAGTGTACAAAGGGAAAAAATATCCAAAAGAACTGTAGAAAGAATCAAGGGTGTATTAAAAAGAATATTTCCCACGACCAGACTCATTCCACTTTACAACACAAAATACTCGTTGACTCGGTCAAAAGCATATGGGAATCGTGCTCATATTAACGCCAAATGCATTTACCAATTCACCTGCATTTACCAGTGCAAGTACATAGGAAGGACTCAGAAAAGGGTGCTACCAGATCTCCTGAGCATATCTCGAAGCGTCTTCTTATGAAAGACAGAAAAGTGTTCTCGATTTCAATTGCCACACATCTAATTAACACAAGAAATGCAGTGGAAATCAGTAAGGCTTTCCAAATAATCAATACACACAAAGAAAACCATGATTGCTTCGGTTCAGAGAAGCCAGTGCTATACAAAGACTTCAACTCAAACTTTGTATACAGAGAGATGTTGTGCCTAATCTCTCACTTCTCCAACGGTTTTAATCATCATATATGGCTCAAACCAATGAAAGTTCATAGATTTCATAGATTAATGCCTGTTTCATCTAGTCAGCGTATTTGTAACAGAGTGAAGAGAACAATACTGTATCTCACGTTATCCCGTTTACTCACAAGGCGATTTTTTTATTCCTTCACGTTTCCAGTGGAACATAGCCAGAGGTTTGAATTTTCTGTGCCAGCGGTGATTATTTTTACAGGATGGGGATACTAGCCTCATGTCCGACCTTTCCTCTTTACAAGCTTTATTTCTGGCTTAGCGAGGTAGAGGAATGCAACGGCCGGGGATCGAACCCCAAACCACATTGGGCGTAATTGACAAGCATTTTTCCTCTGCGCCACCGACTCCATAAGACGCTAAGCTTACATATTTCAAAATGCCAGCGATAATATCATGAAAAATCAATATTTTCGTTTACATCAGGTTTTATTCAGCTAAACAAAGAAAACTGTTTCCATCAATTTATCATTTACAAATGCTAAGGGAATCAAAGACGGCCAAATCTCGCAAAACAAAGAAGCTAATTTTGTATATACAAGTTTCACATATACATATATATATGTTGTAAAGCCCATCAAGGAATCATCTATCCATCCAACTGTCATAAGACTCTGTTGTCAAATTAACCAGACTTCATTGACTGGTACCCTTAATGGTTTTCTTTTCAGGATAAATATCATATAATCTTCTAATTGTCCCTGTTATTAAATCCCCATAGACCATTGAATAGGGTACAGTTTTATCAAGTCTTTCTAAATCATAAAATGTTTTATTCCAGCCAATTTCACGATGTTTACCTAATCGGCAGGATTTATCAATTCGTCGTGTAGGATACATCCATGTATCAGAATTCTGTGAGAATTCATTCGATGACTCAATACTATGATAATGTCTTGGCATCAATTCCCCTCCTTGATAACGTATAGAATATTGATCTAAACCGATTAGACTGAAAAGCGGCTGGATAGATACACGCTGTAGCGAGATAGTTATCCAACCATCATCTTCTGGTTTCACGGATGGGATTTCACACCCCCATTCAGGTAGATCATAGGATGTGGATTCTTTGAAATCTGATGAATTCATATTGGTAATATTAGGAATAGAAGGAGAAGTGGTATCAATAGGATTATCAGTAGTAGCGTTACGCTCCTTAATATACTCCTTCAATAGTAACGAAGCCGGTTTCATTCCAATATGATCAGCACGTGGTACATATCGTACACCGATGACTGTATTACATCCAGCACAAATCACATTACAAGCAGCATGATGTATTTTATCGTTCAATTTAAATATATACGGTAATTCAGCGATTAATGCTTCATCTAAATTATCTTGAATTCGTTTATTCCGCTCTGGATTGCTTCTCTGATTTAAACAAACCTCACTATTGAACATTGAATCGTTTGACCTTGATCTACTTCGTGGTTTAACATGAATATTGATAGCATCTTGTAAAAATATTGCCATAAAATATCGATTATCTGTCTCGTGAACATTAAGATTTTCTCGGAGTATTCTGTTCTGATTATTATTATTGTTGTTATTATCATTGCTATTATTATTCCGATTTTTTTTAATCTTCATATATTCATAAACTAATCTTTGTTTCTGTTCTATGGTCATATCAGTGTGATTGTCTATCCCGGGAAATACAAAAAGTCGAATAATTTCTTTATTTATTTCGTATAGTTTATTTAGATTTGATTCGATGTATGCTGTCGACATAGTTACATAACCAAAGGGTAACCCGCAGATATTACATGTTATTCGTCGACGATCATTTAATTTCGAGTAGGATGGCATAGTGGTTGAGATAGGCAGGGGACACTTGATGGGTAATAGATCCATTGGAGTTGGCTTATCTGTTGGCTTAAGAAAAAGCTGCTCAATCACACACTGGTGAAATGTCCAGTGTTTTATGTACATTGAATAATTTAGGGGGATTTAAACTACTGATTATTGATTAGTTATGCCTGAAATAATCAATGAATTACAGTTAGGCTATAGATGTTAGATAATGTATAAGGTATGTCCATTAATTTTAACCTACAGATTTAATTAAGTAAAAATAATAATAACCCATAATAGTGAACGCAGTTGGAACCTGCTAGTATATCTTATTTCTGCTAGATATCAGCCAACTGCTCCAGTAAAGGATCTAGGACATTTCAACCTCAGGGCTCTTAGAATCTGTTCCAAGCAGTGAATGCATACGCATCTTTCTGTAAATCCAGTGTAATTGTTCTGGGAAGCTTCTATGAATTTGTAAACATCATTTGCATTCTATTGTTGATTGACAAAGAGCACTATTAGAGATGTAAGCAGGAACAAGTCTTGAAAGGTGATTATTTGCTTTATTCCCAAACATTACATATAGTACAACATGTAATTCGCAACATTTAATACAATATTGCACCTAATTTACTCCATAGCAACAACATACATGGTTACGAAAATTGACATTAGCAACGTTTCTGATATTAACAGTAACAGCAAATTCAAAAATTTACAAGAATTATAAAATAGTAAAAATAATAATGTTTGTACGAATTTGACCATGGATTGATATCAGTTGGAGAACCATTGAAAACCACCAGGGAGTACTGGACAGCTGTTTCGTCAGCCTAGTTTGGAAATCATTGACAGTATGCACCCACTACAGGGGTTCCAACCCAGGACCTTTCAGTTACAAGTCTGGCTCGTTTCATCTGGGCCATTGAGTCGGGTCCCAGTGGCTGAATGGTATACGAGCTTGCCTTGTAAGCGGAACGTCCTGTGTTTGAACCACAGTGGTTGCGTACTTCCAATAATTCCCAAACAAGGATGCAACAGCTGGCTATCCAGTACTCCCTGATGGTTTTCAATGGTTCTCTGACTGATATCAATCCGTGGTCTAACATAAAACAAACAGAATCCCTACAAACTGATTCTTGAATGAATCAAAGATTCCATTCCTGGACGTCGAATAATCAAGAAGACATGACGGAATTCGGAAAAGATCTACCCATAGAAAACCAACGTGGAATGGCCAACTGACAAACGTCTACAGCTAGATAGTTATCAGCCGTAAAAACTCTCTCATCGTCTCGCTAGACCACTGTACCAGAAGAATTTGCAGCGATGACTGTTTGAAAAAAGAGCTCCTTTTTCTTAAAAGCATCCTGATTCAAAATGGATACCCACCACGTTTCGGGGAGAAGAGCATGAAACCAAGGCCAAAAAGAGAAGAATACACTTCAGTGCCAAAGAAAACATTTTACTTGAATCTGGGATTCAGGAGAGACCTAACAGCAGATATCCTTGAAAGGAGAACCTCTAATTCCCTGGAGAAGACGTTTCCAGCAGCAACTCTTAGAGTGATATTCTTTAGCCGCCCACTACTTTGGAGCAACGTGAAGGACAGACTTCCGCATATGACCACTTCAGTGTGCCAACTCGTATAAACAAATCTAATCCTTAGAAACCAAACTCCTGAAAATAATAATGTTAACAGCTAAAATTATAAGAAAATCTAAATAATGCCATCACAAATTACAAGTAGAAGACAATAAAATTACCCCTTGTTTTGCTAACTGCTTAATAAGTTATGCGTTTCACAATTAACATTATCTCTATCACATAGACCGTGGGCTGAATAATATATCGCTGAGTTTCTTTTCGTAGTTGTGTGAGCATTTAATCTTGTATAATTTATGTCTAGTCCTACGTGATGAGATGCAGGGGGAGATTTGTGAATAGAGAGTCAGGTGATGGGAGTCAGGCGGTATGGATTTAGACTATTTCTCACATGAGTTCAGATGTCTGTTGACTACAACAGGAACGAGCTGGTTGACCCAGTGGCACACTAGTTGCCCTTTTTGAGGACCTTCAGTACCCTTCCCAACATGACATAGTTCTATTTGAGTAGCCTAGAAAAGACTAAGGGTGAGTACTCAAGAAGCATTGGTAAGATGCAAGAGTTAAAATGTTGTAAAAGTAGATTTTGGGTGAAACCTGACTGTGTTAACGTTTTACTAGGGATTTTTAGTCGGAATATTTTCCCAGAAATCAACAACATATGGAATGACCAAGAAAGGTCAAATACTTTATATCAAGAGCATCTATTAGCCTTTTATCTATCTGGCATCTGATATAATCTCTTTCAGAGGTTATCCTAATAAATATGGACTTCCTCCCGATTATAACAACTTTCGTTTCATTACTGAAGTTCCTTTCACAGAGTCTTACAAATTTCTTTGAATATCCCATTTAAGACAGTAGCTTTTCAAGAAAATCGAACTCTTTGCAGTAAAGTTTCCACTCCCTTTCATGTTTGCTTTTTCATTCGGCAGATTCTAGCATATTTTGAGTACTGTTAGGTCGGCGTATTCTTTCAGTGTATTGTCCCCATTGACTGTAGCATCATTTCGACTTCTCATTCATGAATTCAGGAAGTGAAACTTATTTCCATTTTCTTGTTCACTTGTGGAACTAATATTTCGGTGGACATTGATAAAAATTTTGAATGATTTATAGGCCATCTCTGCTACCTCGCTAATCAGTTAGGTATCGCCTGCACACATTGCTTAAAAGGAAAATCCTTGATTTGCAGATTAAATTTCACTTGTCTCTAGATTCTCCATAAATATATCAATAAGAATAATTTCGAGGGGACTTTCGACGGCTATTCCATCAAGCTGTCTACAAGGTTAATTATTCAAAGAAGATTTCATATCTTCCAAGGACCGTAAGGAAGTATTTTGTGATTGTCTGTCACGTGTGAGGATGGATGTCCCACAGATGACATTGATTGGAGTTGCACTAAATCCCTAATTGTTAGAAGTAAGAATTCATGGGCTAGCCATTGAATCAGGTCCCAGTGGCTGAACGGTATACGAGCTTGCCTTGTAACCGGAAGGTCCCGGATTCGAACCCCTGTAATAGGTGCGTACTGCCAGTTATTCCCAAACTAGGACGGAAAAGCTGGTTGTCCAGTACTCCGTTGCTTGTTTTCAATGGTTCTCTAACTGATGTCAATCCGTGATCAACTCGTAAAAACAAAAATAATCCTTACAAACCAACTATAGAAGATCTGAAATATGTCTTCAAGCAGGAAGCTGGAGAATAAGAAGGATGTGTCAAACAGTACCATACACATATCAGAAACGTTTGAATTACTTACTTTCTCAGTAAATTGAAAGGTGTCCTTTAGCTTACACTCAGCTAACCTACCACCACGGGGCTCAGTCTTCTCTTCTAGCTAACGGGCAAGTTTGAAACATGGCGAAGTCCCTGCTGACATTAATTGTCTCGGGGGAGATAATTGTTCTGTTTGTTTTGGATAAACTATGCATAACAGCGGTTTTCTTAGTCTTGCGTCATCATAAGTCACGTCATCAATTAACTTTTTCTGTAACAGGCTTCACATTGGCTGAGTACACATTTCTGTGTCAGATGCAGTCTTTATTGTATTATTTCATATTATAAGCACCATGTTTAAGTTATGCTTTTCGTTCAAAATAATAGCTCCAGATCTTTAATCGGATCTTATAATTACTACAGCTTTGTTCCCCTGCAGATAACTAAGTGATTTCCAGTGTTTCTGAAAGGGTGCATTTGATTCCGTTGTCCAAGAGCATCTACTATCATTATAAATCTACCCGAAATCTCATGTGTGCGAGGACGCTTGTGACTGTATTTGCCGAAAATATCTTTGGACTATAAGGGGTACTATTGCAGAAGACACAGAAAGTGATCCAATATACTTGCTGAGACATTCGTGAGTTTGATTCATGGCCATGAGTTGAAAACCTTTGCATTGCAGTCAGGAAAAGCATTTTCAACAGCCTACTGTCAATGTTCTTCATCAGCTGCCTTCATTAGTCGGAAACTATAAGTAACATGCAATTCTGACAGAGAACTTACCAAGGACCTAACGCCTCACAAAAATGTGAAAAGAAATGGCGATGGATCCAAAATACGCTGAGGGAACCACTGAGTATTATCATGCTCCTAGACTTCGAGTGTGATCTAAACAGGAAAAGACGAGTTGATCGTTGGTCGGAGGAGGACATGGCGGAGGTCGTGTAAGGAGGAAATAAAGGCTTGTGAGCAATCGTCGAAACGGGTAAAACAGACTGCAGGAAACAGTGTGTTAAAGTGATGTGCCATTGAGGTCCTATTCCCCGTTTGGAATCGAAAGAAATAATAACAAACAATATTAAACAGTTCTCCAAATTAAATATATAACATACTAAACGTATGCGAATAATGACATTATGATGTATCCTCTCGTCCACTGTTAGGACCACACAGCTGTCTCATTGAATGTTTCATTTCCAGATGTTAGTGTGCATGGATTCGATTGGTTACAAGTCTGGTCACAAGCTGACATTAATTAGAGAACCACTGGATAAACAGGGAGAACTGCATACATGTTCAGTCCTAGTTTTCGACTCTTAGGTAGTACACACCCAGTACCTTCCACTTTGGATTGGGTGCCGATGGCCGATAGTTGTACCAGGTCGCCCAGCAACTGGAGGGTCCTGTGTTCAAACCTCAGTCAGTGAGCACCGCTGAAGAATCCCAAACATGGAAGAAAGAGCTGTTCGGTACTCCCTGCCGGTTTTCTGTCGTTTTCTAGC